CCCCAAAACCCCAAAACCCCAAAACCCCAAGTTGTTATAAATGAATAAAATTATTTTTTTAGTCAACAAATAGGTTGGTTAAGGGCCAATCTAAAGGCTGTGCCTGCTTAATAAACATAAGGTGCATTCATCGTCAGTCTTCTTTATGCGTCTTTAAAATTGAAATTATGGTATTAGGGCCTCCTTTATTAATGAGTCATATGTTTTTACTTCCTTTGAGAATCCCTATTTTGTAATATAAAATCTCTTAAAAATCAAAATTTTAGTTTTAGAAATTTCCTGTAGAATTCGACTTTGTCTATAAGCCCAAAACTGTCTGGTCAATTACCCCGATTTTTGAGATTGAAGCTTTATTTTTAGGATCACTATAACTCCTTTAGGAACGAAAATAAAGTCAACAAATTAAAAATATTTACCCTAAAATTGACCCGACGTCTATCAATTTTGCTAATATTTTGGGCAGGATTCTTCTTATTCGACCTATTTTCTCCTTTATTTTTCAAAATTGACCCTGAGAGATTGCAATTTAGCTTTATTTTCTCAACCCAGTTGTTTCCTTGCGTTTATTATTTAATATCTAGGATCCATGAAGACCAATATTCTACAGCTAGGCTTGGTTGTACCTCTAATAGGCTTCTAGAATCATTCAATCAACTTTCAAGGAAGAGTTGAGTTCATGTAGAAAAATGCCCAGCATAGTAAGGACCTTGCAATTTAAGGTCCATCTCTTTGGTCAAAAAGATTACTGAAAGTTAATTAATGTAAGATGGAAGGATCAGCTCAGAACGTTAGAGAAAGCAGGGCTTAGAAAGCAATGTAAGACTAGCCCAAGGTTTATCACAAATAAGCAATTTATGTTAGAATTAGTTTATGTCATTATTAAGAAGAGATCCAGGAAATCTTGGTTTGTTTATAATGAGTTTAAATTTCTTTGTTCATTCTTTCATGAGGATGAAACATCCAACCGTTAATTAGGCTAATGCTAGCCACCTCTAGAGTTATTTCTAGAGAATTATTCATTTGAGATGTAACTTGCATTAATTCTGTAAATATAGTTTGGAAAAATTTATACGATTAGAAGGCAAATAAACTAAGTTTCAAAGTACTAAAGTCTGTTGATCAGTATTTCCATCCAATGGACTTGGCCATTGAAGAGGTTGATTCTAACCTAGATGGTCATATCAACGAGGACATCGAGGATATGGAAATGTATTTTGATGGCCAATTATACATAAATTCGAGCAAGAAGGCATCTATGATCAAAAATTTAAATTTTGGTACACTCAGGTTAGATAATCTGAGAATGACTATAGACAAAGTGATATTTCTCAATTTACTTCATTCCGTACAGAGTTAACAATCTTGTGCTTCATAATGATGAAAACGATACAGTCAGTCTCCAGTCCAGATATTTTGATCGGATTCTGAGAGTTAATTTCAAGATCTCAAGAAAAATAATTTTTGATGGATTTTGATTAAATTTTTTCCAACTTAAGAGATTCTTTAAAGCATCCAGACATGCTGAGATATTGGGGTTGATGCACTGTAAACTTTCCATCCCTAAAATTTCTGATTTTTCTAAGGCATTGGAGAATACTAAAGTCCAAATGATAATTTTTCTAGTCTAGACTCAACACTGCAAGAAATTTGAAGAGATCCACTGGAATTTACTTATTTACTTAGAGAATTGACCGCTCTGCAGATTTAAAGCTGAGTCTTAAAAAAATAGACTTAAGAAGATGTGTGACAGATAAGACAATTTCAAATGGCATATTTGATGAGAATGGATTTGGTAAAGTTAAGATTATTATTTAGACATTAAGTTTTGTCAAATATCTTTAAATATTATGATTATAAGTTAAAAATCATACAACTTAAACCTTAAAATGTCCTATCTAATGGCTCATCAGTCTATCTAAGAATTTTCATCAATCTCACCACAGAGTATGAATTTGAACGCCTTCAGTTGACCCCAATCCTTCCAAAATTAGTGTCCTCAAAAGTATTTACCACCCAAAGCATCTATAAACTTCTGTTAATCTCTATCCAATCTCTCCTATCTCTAAACACCAGTGTTCACTCCTCCCCCAAAAGTCCTTCACAAGAGACTCTTCCCATATAAATATTCCTTTACCCCATTTTCCCCTGTAATGGCCCTCAGAGTTCTTCCTGAGACCTTTTAGGGGGTATCTTCAGCTCCTTTTTTCTTCCTAAAGACTCTACTTGTTCGTAAGAGTTCAGTACGGATGGGAGATTTCAGCCTTTGAGCAACGTATACTCAATATCTCAACTCAAATATAAATCCAGAAGGGGCAAAACTAAGTCCTATAATAGCCAATCCTAAGACCCCAAGCCAGTCAAATGCTACCTAAAAGCAAGCGTGTAACACCTAACGACTGATGTATCCCCTATTTCAACAAAACTCATCAGTTCCCGTAACACTAAACCCCCTAGTCTCTAGCATTATCTTACTGACTAAATCTGAGCTTAAAGTCAAGATACAATAGAACGCTAACTCCATGATTTATACTTAGAGATTAGTAGCTTGATGGGGAAATTAGGATTCAGGGTGATTTCCTTGGGCTCATTTAGTACCAGATTTGTTAAAATGACTTCAAAGCTATAGAATTTTCAGTAAGAAACTTCCTAATTGGGGTTTTGGGGTTTTGGGGTTTTGGGGTTTTGGGG